TATCCCATAAGTGAACAGGGAGTTGGAGCACTATAATGTAAACTGACAGAACAGCTTTAACATGCCTTGGCAAAGATTCTGTCTAGAACGCTACCAATCTTCCAGGAGAAATTTGCCAAACTGTCTGAGACGCACCTCTATAATTTGCTATGAGTGCTGGTATTTCAATCCATCCTGAAGACCAGCTATTTTAGAAGAGCTCATGCTAGCCTATCCTAGTGTATCAGCTTCACAAAACACTACTGATGCTGCTACACATTACCGTATATTGTCATGGAAGCTCATATTTCAGCTGCTGTAATTCAGTGTTTCTCCATGACTAGGTGCTGCGCTTAGGGCAAATGTCAGGAACGTGAACTGCAAGGCTTTCATCCACCATTTACACCCCCAACACAGCAATAGTACCACCTGACCCGCCAAGCCACCAGCAGTCATTGGCTGCTGGAAACGCAGCTGCACCACCATTTCAGTTCTTAGTTCTAATGGCTAAGGATCAGAATGGAGGGGATCTTGGACCATCAGTGAAGTATCCTGCACTGTTATCTTCTGCTACTCCTTTTCATTTTAATTGCTGCATAATATGAATTAATGTTAACTGCATTTTTTGTGTCATTCTTAATATATCCTTTTTAAGTGCTTTAGGGCAACAGTTTTGGAATGGGAACCATAATACGATGAAGTGCGCTACTATGTAAAATTTAAAATTGACTGTACCTGAAGAAACCGTCTGCCCATAACTCAGACTGATATTTTCACACAGCTAGTTCAGAGCTGCTCATTTGTTTTCCCTTGCATCTTACACCACAGCCAAGGAGTACGTGTTTTCAGGCATGCAGTCCATAATTGATGATGTCTTTCCCTAATATCCTATCCCAATCTCACCATAGCATGTGGATTACTTAATGTAATGAACCATACCTGTGCGGAAGCACCTTTTTCTAATGTATTTGCTACCCTTTATTTACTCATGTGTTTTGTATTTGGATAATTACTCACATATTTACTTTTAAATTGGAACACTGATTTAAATCCCACTATGTCCATTATACATTCTAGAATATTTAAAACTTTGTCATACTGCTTATTTGTGAATGAATGTGATGGGGGAACGCTTTTACTACTTCTTTAACATATAGCTATCAGCATATTCAGAACTATTAAGCGAATAATGGTGTTATTAAATATAATTAAATTTCATTTATGTGTCCTGATCCAGCGCTGAATGGGACACAGGGTTAGGCACCTGCCCAGTGGGGACTGAAATGTAAGGCACTTAATTAAAATTACAAGCAGGACACAAAGCAAGAAGGAGCCTTAAATAAACTAACTCACAGGAACCACAAAAATAAATGAGATATGCACACAATATATTCAGAGGCCTACAAGCGCATCATGATAATATATAAATCTATTTGCCCAGTCAGTGCTAAAAGTCCAAAATTTTTAAGTGTCTGTATTAGAGCTATGCTGAGATTTACATAATTAAACAAATAAAAATATATATTTGGTTTTATCTGGAGTGTTTTTACAGTGGTATTATAAGTTATCATTTGTTGATTGTTATCACTGTATTCATTATAATCATTGATACTAATATAAAGGATATGTGCAAGTAAGAATTTAAATGTACTATGCAAATATGGCAATAAAACCACAAAACTTGCAATTTAGTGCTACTCAGCTTACACACTACCCACAGACTGATACGTGAGCTTTGGGGATTGGCAGATACTGAGTACCAATCCGATACCAACTGTAGGCTTTGCCTCACTGTGTAGAAGAGACTGTTTCATTTATATATATAGACACACACACACACACCGCTTATAGTGATCACGTCTGTCTGGGTGAAATTTATCACTATAAGCATTATGGGGGAGGGGGGGTGTCACTGGGCAACATACCATCTAATTGACATTTGTACATTTATTACATAACTATAAGGTAATAAGACGCACAGCGTCGCTATTTACTGAATTTTACTGACTCAAACAGTACAGCTGCATCAAATTACAAATAAACAAATAAAATTACTGAAATATGTATAATTCAAATACGCTACAAAACAGTAGCCTACTGTACATAAAATGTAGCTTAATGTAGTTTTGCTGATGCATCTCGTTGGCTCGTTTTTTATGGTTTATCATAAGCTTTGATGAGTCTATATTTGTCATTGAGAGAAAATTAGTTTATTTTTCCCATGCACAGTTTTCTGTGCATGCAGCATTAGCCTCAGGTAGCCAGACAGGGTAATTACCGTAAGGCAAAGTAGGCTTATTAAGGTAAAGTAAAAAAAAGAAAAACGTACTGTAGTTTTAATTTTTCCCAAACATTTTCACATATAAAAAGACCCAAAATAAACACTGTAAGCGGACTACTTGATTATTATAAGCAGATTATTAAACAGTATTTGTACAGGAATGATTCTGTCTCAAGCTTTTTGATCCATATAAGCAGTTGATCACTGTAACCATGATCAATATAAGCAGTTTCCACAGTATGTATTTACTTACCTTATAATCATTTATATCCGTATTCTAAATTCTCAGCTTGAAAGGTTTTTACAGAGGAACAAAACCTTGACTGACTGTATAGGCTGATATATACTTCTGCGTTGAATGGACATCGTAAGTACGACATAGTCATGGACCCAGGGGCGTTGCTAGAGATTTTGGACCCCATGAAAGCATATCATATTAGGCCCCCCAGTCCAAACCAATCCAGTTATTTTCCTAATTTTTTAGGGCCCCTGTCACTCAGGGGCCCTTGGAATTGTCCTAGCTTTCCTCCCCCTTACGGCGCCCCTGCATGGACCCTACACCATGGCCTGATGCGCACCTACCCTGAAATATATCAAGCCATAACAGCGACATAGCCCACAAGGACTGTGACTGGTCTGCTTGGTAGCATTCGTTTTTTTATAGGGGGAAGAATGCATACACCCAGGTGTACTTATATTGGTGATTGAACCTGAAGCGTTAATTATATCTAAAATTAAATAACTAAATTTATTTAATGTTAGATCTAAATAACGTTTCAGTTTCATTTTCTTTCACTTCTCCATAATTTGTGCTAAAGTTTGTTGTTGTGTTCTTTTTCTGCTAGCATTAGCAAACTCCATGCACTCTGCACTATGGACACATTTGATCAAATTGCTTGTGTTAAGTGGCGTGCTGTCACTTCCTCTTCTTGAGGCTTTAGCAGAACAGACCTTACAGTCTAACAAAATGCAGCGGATTTGAGTTTTATCGTAATGTTGCAATTAAGTGGTATAGGTCTTTTGTATCGGACAATTTTTACAAGTACGAGTATGAATATTTGAGCGCAGTATCAGCCCAATACCCGATGCCAGTATAGGTGCGTCACTACTGTGTAAGTTTTATGATCTTTGTCAAAACATTTCTTCATAATCTATTTTTAATCCATGCAAATACCACTACTAATTAACAATATTAATTTTTTTAAGACCCATTAAACTACACTTATAAGAACATGATTTATAACAAAAAAGTAGCTATCTTATCTAAATAAGACCTATGAAAAATGACCTGACTTTCAGTCCGTGAAAAACCATTAGAGCAGAAATCACATTATGGTGGGAAGCCTTAACGACTACTCAACCAGCACCCTTTGGTCAGTAAATTCTGGCCTAGAAAACATATGCTATCATATTTACACTGATTTCAGAAAAGGTCTCCAAATATTATTTGCGCTAGATTGTCACCTCACAAAAGAAAACAGAGTTCATAATTAAAATTCCATCCAAAGGACAACCCGCAGCGCACCAGTGCCTTCAGTGGATCCTTATATTATTAATTTAGCTTTCTTAGGTCATCTAACTTATGGCATAAACCTTATGCAATTAAATTTCAAGAAAATTAAGCATCGGATTTGCATTTTTACTGCAGAGGATGACTGCATCTCTCTCAGCCTGGCCAGAGCCAAGTCCTGCATGGTGCAGTATAATTAACCATCACTGAAGGAGAGCTTTTAAAGATTGTTACATCTTCTGTGCAAAACCAGAATTCATAAGTGGCATGCTAAATCAGGGGGAGTGCCTCACCAATTTTGCAGAATAGCACGCGCAGATGATAAAGCAGATAGAAGTCAGTTGCCAAGGGATGTGCCTTTATAAAGGTATTGATTGCTGCTCTTATACAAAGATAATTAAACGACTGCTTATGTTTGCAGTCCTGGCCCTGCACTGCGGATTACACTTTTACTAATTGCATGCCCTAACATGGGGTGGGTCTCTGTGCTTTGTGTCATTCATATCCATCAATAAAGCCCATTGAGATTCAGCAACATGCCTTAGCAAAGAGCACCCGCCTGAAATAAAAACCACGGGCTGTGGCTCCAGAACTGACCTTACCTTCCTTTTCTTCTCAGATAAAAGTGCAACGAATATAAGAATAACCTGCAAAATATCATGCTGGACAAATATGAAAATTACAGTCTGCAGTAAATAGTAAAGGTGTTTACAAAGCGTGGTTAATTTTATTATGTTTAATGTTTAATTTTATTTTCTCTTTAAATAGCCCATATTTTTAGGTTTTCTAATGCATTACTGCATTAAAAGTCTGTGTTCTGACATTTCAAGCACACCTTTCCAATCTAATCGACTGAGTAGTGACATGTGGCTCTCTCTCCAGAACGGCTGATTGGATAGCGTGGAAATCTGGATGCGTTCCTCTCCCTTTTTCACAGCCAGGCCCATTAGGTCATTAATCACCTAGGGGAAGGAGCCAGCCACTCGCAGGCTACCCTTGGTGGAGGAGAGATGCTGTGCGCTCCATTCATATATCACAGTTAAAGTGTTTACGTTTGTTTTCTGGGAGTTTTATTAATAACGACCGGTTGTGGTTTGTTTGTGCATATAGCTGAAAGCATTAACTTTGAATGGAATTCCAAACTTCCACTGAATTTCAGTTTGCAGGCAATAAAACCCATGCTTCCAGTACCAATGGAGGCAATAGGTGAGCATCAAAGCTAGCACATACCTGTAAGATTACCCAGTGGCCCTCTTTGGCTGCCAGGTCCAGCACTTGTTCTGCCACCACCTCCTGTCCTTGGCCCAGGGATACATTGTGGAAGTTTCTGTTGTCAAATGTGTAACCCAGTTTTCTCCCTAAAAGGAAAAAAAATCATTATGAGTTTATTAGCCTATGGCCAGGCAGGCTACTTCCAAACAGAAGGAACACTTGTAAAAATACCTTAATGAAAACACGAGTTAAGCAGCCAAATTCATGATGAAGTTCCTCTTTTATTGAAACAAATATTAAAGATAAATATGCTCCTGATTGATTATTCTCATGCCTGTCTTACAGTTCCAAAGAACTGTATTTACTGGCTCCCCGTCCAGGGTACGGCCTTCTCTGTGCCCAGGGTTTCTGGGATAAGCTCCAGGCTCACCATGAGCCATCAAAGGACAAGAAGTTAGGAAGAAATGGATAGACGCATAATTGTGGTTGGGGGGGGGAAAGTAAAACATGCAAAACACAGGCATTGAGAGCAGATGGCGTGTGAGTGATTCATGCTTACACACATGCAAAAAAAAAATCAAGACGACGAAATTAAAAATGAGGAGAATGTTAGCGCTCATGTCGAAGCTGCAGTTGCTGATGTAATGGCTTTGCGCAAAGGCCATTAGAGATTAATGAAATCAAAGTCAAAGCATGAATAAGCTGGCCTGCGTCTGCTGGGGAGTCTTTAGGGACATTATGGCACACGCAGAATGTAAGAGAGCTGATTACATGCAGTCCATGTGGATTTGGCATGTTTGGCACGTCAAGTGAGTATACATCCTACTGGACGGCTTGCAATTCAAATCACTGCAGACAAATGAGCCAAGTTGTAAACCTGAATTACACTTCGCTACATAATCAGTATTTATAAACATACTGGAGGAAAAATAATTAAATTAAATTGTAGCATGGTTAATTGATTTTATTTCTCTTTGCTGACATTGTTTAATGCTAATAAAATCCTACAGACTGCCACAATATAGGTTGAAGTTTGTAGAGGTGGGTGTTTTCGGCCTATTACTGGTACACTGGCTGCCTTTACTGTTCAATCAGCAAACATGCAAGTAATTCCCAAATAGCCATTGCTCTGTGCAGTGATAGGAGAGGGGCTAGCAGGATGGTGCACTGGTTAGTACTGTTGCCTCACATCTCTGGGGCTGAAGTCTCTGCTAGGGTTCCGTGTGTGGAGTTTGCATGTTCTCTCTGTGTCGTCGTGGGGATTCCTTTGGGTACTCGAGTTACAGTCCAAAACATGTTAAGTAGAGTTACCAAATTTGGTGTGTAGGTGTGTACCCATAAGTGTGCACATATGAGCGAATGGTGTGTGAGTGTGTCCCGTGATGGACTGGCACCCTATTCTGGGTTGTTCCCCATCTTGTGCCCATAGCCTCCGAGATAGATTGCGATCGCCCCATGATCCTGAATAGGACAAGTGGTTACAGAACATAAATGGATGGATGGATAGACTGATAGAGGCAATATTGTGATGCAACTGGAATGGAAGGGAACCATACTCATCATAGAATAGGCATCCTTAGCCCTGAGAAGGAAAAAAAGAAGAATGAAAAAAACTTTGTGTGGAGAAGCCTTTGGGACAGACTTTGACGTTACCATGTTTCTCCACATCCTTAAGTGGGTCAACACCAGGAGACAGAATAAAGAACATGGGAGTTGCTGCCCCAGATTCTTCAAAGGAGATGGCGAAGTCCAGAGATCTGCCCACCACATACTTGCTGCCCAGTTTCTCTTCCACAAAATCCCTTTAAGGTAATTAAAAAGTCTCATTAATGCAGCATTCACAAATACACAGTGTGCGCATGTGCGTGCGCGCACACACACACACAGGCTTGTAATTATATCTTTGTGGGGACTCTCCATTCATTTCTATAGGGAAAACTCTAATCCCAACATGACGACCTTAACCCCTACCCAGCCCTAACCTTAACCATAAGTGACCAAACAAAATACGAGACTACTTTACTTTTTTGATTGCATTCACAGAGCTTTGTGGAGACCTGAAAAATGGTTCCCAAAAACGTCAAGAAACAGGATTTTATCGAATTATGGGGTACATTTGGTTCCCACAATGCAATATAAACATAATCCATACATATACACAATCATATTCTATAGACCAGGGGTCTCCAACTCCGGTCCTGGAGAGCTACCGTCCAGTAGGTTTTCTATCATACCCGGCTTCTGATGAGCCACACCTGTTCTTAGGTAAATACCAGGAACAGGTGTGGCTCATCAGAAGCCAAGTGGGACAGAAAACCTACTGGAAAGTAGCTCTCCAGGACCGGAGTTGGAGACCCCTGCTATAGACAATTTAGAGACACCAATTATCCTAGCTGCATGTCTTTGGACAATGAGGGAAGTACATCCGGAAGAAATCCACACAAGGGGAGATTAATCAGCAATATAATTATCAGAACAAACAGTTCACATACTGTATAAGTATAATGGCAAAGAAATTTCACTGAGAATAAGAATTCATGATTTATGGTTTGGTTCTGACCATTGCTTCCCCGCAGGTATTATAGTACCTATTAAAGTAATTCCTCTTAAAATTTTCTAGTAGTTACATTCAAGATAATTGCTGAAGCCCTTTGTGACGAAATTAAAGGAAGCAGTGAGCCTGCATCTACATTATAAACTGGCCAAATCCTCCAAGGCTGTATATCATAGTTCTAGTCTTAATAACCAACATTAGTCATCTACCCATAAAAGAAGGCCAAAAGGGCTCAAACATGGTATTTCTCACCTCACGGCATAGGTCATGCGATCAGGCCGAATAGCTCTCATCATGCACAACCTCTGGAGGGCCGTCTTGTTCTTCCACTCCTGAGGGAACTTTTCCTTCTCTGGACATTCAGACTCCACGAATTTCTTCCAGCGCTTGGCAGATCCCTCAATATCACGGTCCAAATTCCGGAATTCATCCATGACACACAAAGCCTGGAGCGAGAAGATCATTAATAATAACAACACAGAGACACAAAAAAACATCAGAGCAAAAGCAGACCATATATTAGTATGGCCAATTGTAATATGGCCAAACTGTTCAAAAGTTCAAGAAACTGATTCATCATGAAACTATTTACAATTTGTTATGTCCAGATAAAAAAAAAAGGAAATATACTTTTTTCCCCCTTAAAATGCTGAATAAGGGGCGGCATGGTGGTGCAGTGGTTAGCACTGTTGCCTCGCACCTCTGGGACCTGGGTTCGAGTCTCTGCCTGGGTCACATGTGTGTGGAGTTTGCATGTCCTCCCTGTGTCGTCGTGGGGTTTCCTCCAGGTACTCCGGTTTCCCCCCACAGTCCAAAGACATGCTGTGGCTAACTGGCATTGCTAAATTGCCCTTAGGTGTGAGTGAATGGTGTGTGAGTGTGCCCTGCGATGGGCTGGCCCCCCATCCAGGGTTGTTCCTGTTGCTTCCAGGATAGGCCCCAGACCCCCCACAACCCAGTAGGATAAGCAGGTTGGACAATGGATGTATGGAAAATGCTGAATAGAATTTCTCCATAACTGAAAGAATCTAAATGTGCCTATTCAACTGCACAACATTTTTGTTGTTCTTATGATGCTTCATAGGCTTCTATCATCTGAGGAAATTTTCATCAGTATTACACTTCTTGAAGCAATCGATTTTTTATGATTGTGGTAACACTTTACTTGATAGGGCACAAGAACTTAGTAATAACTCAGCACTCAGGTCAGATCAGGTTGGACAGCATGCACTGATGCAGCGTGATCCACCCCATGGTGAAACTCCTTGGCTCCTCCTGGGTGGCGATCCCCCAGGCACACACATGGTCCAGTCCCACAACCACACTCCAGAAATGGCCATCCATCTGCTGCAGCAGGTCTTATGTGGATGTCCCATTGGCCTGGTCCAGCTGCTCAGGTCCTCAGCAATGAGGATCCTGCAAGCCGGATCACCCTCACGGAAAACGTGCCAAATGGCCGTAGTAGCATAACTCACAATGCAGGTAATGTGCCTCATTCGGGACTCCTCTAGCAACCGCTCATTCGACAGAAAGTCAAACCAGGGGTACTCAAGGATTCTCCAAAGAGATACAGTACTGAAGAAGTCCAGTCTTCATCTCCGCTCACTGGATAGCGTCCATGTCTCACAGCCATACAGCAAGACAGGGAGCACCAGGACTCTAAAGACTTAGACCTTCGTCCTCTTGCAAAGATATCAGGAGCGCCACACACCCCTTTCCAGCAACCTCATGACCCCCCCATCCTCTCCCAATCCATCTGCTGACTTCATTGTAAGATTCACCAGAGACTTGAATGTCAGGTGTATTTTATGTACAGGTAAGGTAAGAAATTCTCTCAATGAGGTCAACATTTTCCCCGCAGACAGACACACTACTGATGACTGTGCCTAAGAAGTCATTAAAGGCCTGGTCCCTGGTCGTTATGCAGGACACCCGCAATTCCAAGCACTCAGACTCCTTGCTAAGTCTCTTGGGAGCCCCGATCAGAGCCTCCATTGACTCCGCTAAGATCACAGCATCATCGGCAAAGTCAAGATCAGTAAATCTTTCTTTATCAACAGATACTCCACAGCTGCTGGACCCCGCGACCCTGCCCAACACCAAGTCCGTACAAGCACTGAACATTGAACATTGTACACACCCTGGGCCAACCACAGAATCAACTGGGAAGATTCTCTCCCTCCACTCTGTACAGCACTCACAGTACCAGTGTACAGGCCAGCCATGACGTCCAGCAACTTCAGGGAGACCTCACAGGATGTCCCACAGGGCAACTCAATCAACTGAGTGAAATGCTTTATTAAAATCGACAAAGGCTGTAAAGAACCTCTGTCAATATTCATGCTTGCGCTCAATGAGAATCCTCAGTTTCAGGATGCGACCAATGGTAGACTTCTTAGGTGTGAAACTAGACTGCTCCAATGGTGCAGCTCAGGGCATTGGAATCAGGATACAGCCCCCTGACCTTTCATGAAGTCACGGATCATGGAGCCACTCTCACCCCGGTCCCCAGACCCATGGGGACCGACACAATCCTCATAGCCAGCCCTGTCAGTGCCAGTGGTCGCATTGAAATCATCCATGACCAGAGGAATGGCACCCATCAACCACCGAGCGAAGTTGCAAGTAAAATGTCTCCCTTAACCCTCTGGGGTCTAAGGGTAGGAAACACCCTTTCACTGACTGGGGCATGATCACACATTTCTTCAAATATCGTAAACTTAATTTATTATACTCATCTTTATTTTAATGAATATTGTAAATATGTCAGATTTTGGTTAAGTTTGAATAAATGGTGTAGTTGCAACATTCAATTGGATAAATAAATAAGAAAAAGCTAAGTCATGCCACTATTTCTGGCTCCTTTCATTGAATATGTAGAAACTTTCATGTGTATGAACGAGCCATTGACACCTGGCCACGTCCCTCCCCCCCTTTTATGGCACTGACAGGGATGTATCTGGATCGCGTTTCACCGTTGTGTTGTTCACCGCTGTGTTGTTCACCGTTGCGCTGTTCACCGTTGCGTTGTTCACCGTTGTGTTGTTCACCAAATTACCATGCGAATGCGATTTGAATACGCGCTAATGCGGCTATTTAGAATGTGAATAGTGATCTTCGGCTGACAGCAGCACTACACGCCCCCGATGCAGGTAAAACAAAGATGATTTCAGCGAGATATAAACTGAAATAGACACGAAAGGTACGCTGCGTCGCCGACGATGCACTCGACCCCAGAGGGTTAATGAGATATCACTCACTGTGGCCGGAGCATACACTGAGACAACAGATAAGACACCCAAAGAGAGAAGAGGTTCCACGCACCTACTCAGATGGTATCCCTCAAACTGGGACCCAAGTGCCGTCATGCAGCAGGCAACGCCTCAGCACCGCACCAACCCTGATCCCCAACAGGCCTGACCCTATTAGCTATTTGATGGTTTTGAAGGCTTTCCCCCATCCCCTTCATGATGCATGCAGCCTTCCTGTGGGCGGATGCAACAGAGCTACTCCCGCGGACAGCAGAAGAGTATCGTGCTTGTTTTGACTGAGCTGTTGCGAGCTGTTTTATGGTGGCTGCAAGTTGGAGGACCGCTTGCAGGGCTGGATGCAGTTTGACGTCATACCCAGGATAAACTCATTCATTAAGCATTAAGTTCATGATTTGCCTAGTGGGCAAAAGTTCCAATTTGACTCAGGTACTACTGAGTTACAAATCATTAGTCATACAGGTTAGTCATACAAATCATACCATATACCAACAAATCATGAACAAAGATAGTTGCTACTTGAGATAAAAGATGCATCACAATTTATTAATGATGAACAAAGATGAGATCAGTATTTCATTTGTGTTATTCTGTACTTGTTCCTTTAGTAGTTCCTTCGGTTGTTAACAAACATTTACAGAATCAACTGATATAGTAACAAATATAATAACTGCTTGGACTACAAAAACATGCATCACAATTCATTAATGATGAATTATCATGAGATCAGTATATAACTAAGACTTAGTTTGTGGTTAATTAATACATAAGTAATTGTATAAAACTATTTTATTTGTGCCCTGTCAAGTAAAGTGTTACCATTATTATTTTTGCACTATTATAATATTACACAGGTGCAGATTGTAGGTAATTGCAAGCAGTTATTTAGACTTAAATAATAAACAAAACAAACCTTTATTCCTCCCCAGGAGTGATTTGACAAGAAGTCAACTGGAGAAGACACCCCAGGCTGAGCAGGGTACCTCAGAAGGAAGTCCAGTTCTGCTACGTTGATTTCTTTATTCATCAGCAAAATCTAAGTTTTAGTAAATAAAAAGATTACATCTGTCTCAGAAAGTACCTCAGGAAAAGTGACCATATGAGACAATGTTAAGTAAGAGAAGACAGTGCTACCTGGAAGGCTAGCTGCGCAGTGTAGGTCAGTTTATCACACTCAAAGAGTCCACGTATAGTGTATTGGTGGACTGAGGAAGTAATACTGTCAATGATGTTAGAAACTCTTTGCTTCAGCATTTCGTCTGGGGGGGCCTTCCCCACTGCCTTCTGGAACACCACACTGAAGGCCTGTAACACAACGAAGCGGAAAACACGCAAACAAAAAGTAAAACATGACTGTGTGTTTGTGTGTAGCCTTACCATCATCTTTTCATTTCGCATTCATAAGGTCTAAAACTGGAGATAATTATCAGTCACTAAACAGATCTATCTAATAGCAAATAGAGATTGCTGTTCAGATACTAAACATACATCCGTAACCATTTAGCTGAAAGGATTAAACAGCAATTATTAATGAACCTTTATATTTATGAGAATACCAAGTAAATGTATCCATGTTTATAATGAATACATAATTTATTCCCAGGGGAAATTGTTTTGCATTCAGTGAGGTACATAAAATACACACATACAAACATATAGTGCAAAACAATAACAAATGGAACTACTACATTAGTGTATTATTAATGCAAACTTGAAATCCTAATATTATAGTATTACCAGAGCCAAACCTAGCTGTGTGCAGTGACGGTTAAAACATAAATTGCTATATGAACATCCTGCATCCTATGTAAATTTTATAAACATCTGTGTTTTCCATTAATAATGAATGCAATTTTAAAGGATGATGGAAAAAATGCTGATGCAGCCCATTCCTCCTCTTTTTGCTGCAGCACATCCCTCCTCTTTTCATTGTGCGTTTCCAGTGGAATTCCCATTAAGCTGGAACATCGTTAAGACCCTACTTGCTTTTGCCTCGTCTTCTTGATTTGTTTCTTTTGCAGGGTGGAGCAAGTGCAGGTAGTTTACTTGATTGGCCTGCCGACACCATTAAAACTATCGGGCTGAGTTGAAGAAGTTACTTCTCTCTGCATTCAGACACACTTGTGGGTTTTCTTCTTTATGAAATAGGCTATGTAGCACAATTTGTATTTCTATTACTGTTTATGTTCCTGTGTTTATTTTTCATAGTATTACATCCTGTTGGGTACCCTGATTAGGTTGAATAAATTACTTTCTTAATAGAATCTCCCATTTATGTTGCCTCACCAAACAAGCCTAGTGGGCGTAACAAACACCAGCAGTGTCTCTGCAAAGCCCAGAGGAACATTCTACGTAACAAAGCCGAACATTCTGCCACCATGCCTCATCTGATGTGATTCCCAGGGTTTTCTCTCCTGCGAGTCAATTGTGAAATTAAAGGAGACCAACAACAGCATAACTATATTAGGGGGCGGCAAACACACTAACTGCCGAGAAGACGAGTAGGATCTGCCGAACACAGAATATAAGGACAAACAGAAAAGAAATACATTCACAGTGAAACAGAAAGTTCCACCAGGGCTTTAGAGGGCCATTAGAAAGCTTACCTTCAGAGAAAACTGATACATTGGATGTATCTTATTGAGGTCGTTCATTATGAAGTACAATAAGGAGGCTCTGGCTGCAGCAGGGCGGTACTGTTCCCTTGCTTCATTGATTTTGGCTTCTGTCACCTTGGCCTCTTTTACCTGTGAACACAAACAGCACAAGAGAGGTCGTTTGTTGAGCATATTAACCACGATTATCATAATTAGAAGGACGATAACGAAACCATTAAGCTTAGGGGTATGACACTGCAGTACCGCACTGGGCTGAGCATTTATTAGTTCATCAGTTTGAAAATAGAACAGAAAATTACATGCAAGCAAGCTTGCTCGCACATCTGCAGAAGCTGTGCATGCTAGCTTAGCCTGAACAATTTAGATTGTAGTGCACAGTACATTGGCATAAAAGTGAGTTTCTGGATGCCGTATCTTACGATGCACATTTCTTAAAATGCTTGTGTGTTTGTAAGATTTGTTTGGTATAGGTCAACCTAAGGTACAGTGATATAGGTAAAAATGTTATTTTTAATGGTTTATATCTAGACAATGACTGTTGAATTGAAACCTCAAATCATTTCTACACTATTGAAAGCTGTTGTATTACTGTGAATTTAATGCATTTTACCATTTTACCTTATTTTCATTTCAATCAATATGGTCAAAAATTAGGTAGATGATGACAACCTTTATTTCCACCTCTGCAGCTGTTTGTTTGGTGGTCTCCAGGTTCTCCACCAGCTCTGTGTCACCCAGGAAGTTTCCAGAAGCAGAAGATAAGCGGGACAGAAGGTTATCCTCAAGAGTTTTTAGAGTAATCTTGAAGCCATTTTGCTGTTTCGTGAGATTTGACTGGAGAGAAGAAGTACATAAGGTACAAGAGCATGAGTCTGTGACATTGCACAACCTATATGTGTATATTTAATACTTTGCCCTCTGTTAGAGAAAGAAGAACAGAAGAAAAGTACTGAGGAACTGAGCACAGGGAAAGAAGAGGACAAGTCAAAGGCGACGGCAATCAATATCTTTGCATAGCTGAAAAAACAAAAGTATGCTCAGTCTGAGCAAACTAACTTGCTTCCTCTTGGCAGAAATCACCAAATATTGAAGCACCAATTGCTTCAGTTGATATTGGCGTCCAATAGCAAAATGGAGCAAACACAGATGACTATTTTGATGATGGTGGATTTGTGAAATCCTTTAAAACAATTTGCCCAATGTAGCCTTGATACCCTTTGAGAAGTATTATATCCAGATGAGAAGGGTCTCTTAAGCAATCTAAATGTTCCCTATAAAGCAAATTAAAAACCAATATCTGTCTTTAAATTTCAGTTAACTAAAATGCATAAATCACTGAAAAAAACATTCCAGATCATTACTGTTCAATTAAAACACCTGCTGTTACTTGCAGAGCTGCATTACAGAATCTTTGTACTTTCTAGGAACATTTAAGTCACTGAAGAGTTCATAATGATGCAGCACACATAACCAGTGATGTTCATATGCACTGAATCCAAAAGAGATGGAGAATTTAGTTCATTGCTGGCGGCTAAGAAACCATACAAACATTCTGGGAGTGAGACTTATTGTATGATGATATATGACTCAATGTGCTTGGCCTTCAAATGAGGTGTGATGTAATAAAGACATTGTAGTTATTGTTTGGAATAACAAATCATTTTTTAAAAGTCACCCATCCTGTCTAAATCTGTACATATATTCAGTCAAATGTTTAATGAGCTGACTCAGGTTAGTCAAGCAAGATAAATTGTCATTTACATTATTGTTAGTAAGCATTTAGAATAGGGCCACTTGACCAAAAAATTTCAGTTAAAGCAACAAAATTCACAAAAACAAATATTAAAGTATATCTAAACTGATGTATTTGCTGCAATGACAGTACTAGTCTTTACAAATATCATGTGTCGCCTTCTGATTTTTGAAATGCAAATATTTAATGAAGGACGAAGAGTTTATGTGTGTACTTACAGCTATAAGACACGTAATCATGGGTGGTCTAGAGAGTAAATAGTTAACTAGTGACCTCAAGTAATAATTGGGTTTTAAATAATATTGTATATGTTTATTGTTGGTCTAAGCAGAGCATTAATAGTAAGTAAGAAATGATTAAAATTATAAAAAAGTAAAATTATTGAAAAAACTACAGATAAATACTGCCTAGAGTGTCTTTGGAATGGAATGATTCTATTACATAGACTGTCTTCTCAATAAAGTTGATATATATATATATATATATATATATATATATATATATATACATACATACACATACACACACACAGTGGTATTTCGAACTCATTAGAACTCGAATTTCTTAAAAGTCGAACCAACCACATTACCTAGAACTCGATCTGAATCTCAGAAGTCTAACCGTGAACGCCGACCTAAGATAACTTGTAGGCGCGGGGAAATGAGTCACGCGGCACGTCTCTCAGCGGAAACAAAGGGTAACGCTTCAGTCTCAGCCTCGCACTCGCTGTGATAGCATCGTGCATGTTTACACTAGCTGAATACATATATTTAGACAGTAAAATTAAATTTCGACAATGATAGACAGTATGAATAATTATTATTATATAATAAAATACATTTTAAAAATAAAGATTTCTTATTAATTAATTAAATATTAATAATAAACCATTAATACATTTAATTATAATAATATTATTGTGCCGAGCGCAGACGGAACGGAGACAAAGGCGCAGACGTCACTGTATCGGGGAATACGGGGTTTAATTACAGGTAAGGCAGGCAAAACGCAGACCGGACTTTTTGGGGCTGGGAACCAATAAATTGGTTTTCCATAGTTTCTTATGGGGAAAATTCAATCACAACTCGGACTTTTTAGGATTCGATCCGGAGTTCTGAACAGATTAAATTCTAGTTCTGAGGTAGCACTGTAT